TAGGATTAGTCACATTTTATAGCAGATTTATTGCAAACGCTTCAACAATTACAACACCACTCGGAATTTGCTGAAGGAAAATACGAATTTCAAATGGACAACATGATGTGACGCAGCTTTTATTCGTTTGAAACGGGAAATCATAAGCGATCGCGTAGTCATGCCATTCAATCCCGAGTTGCAAGTTCGACTCGCTTGTGATGCAAGTCCCACATGTATAGGAGCAGTCTTATCACACATTATCAATGATGAGGAAAAGCCAATAGCTTCTGCATCTCGCTCACTAACCCCAGCAGAACAAAATTATTCTCAACTAGACATAGAAGCTCTAGGAATTGTTTATGGAACTGACAGATTTTTCCATATTTCCTCGGACGTCAATTTCAAATTGAGACTTCAGCCCGTCTACAATTTATAATAAATGTCTACTGTTTATCGCGGATACCACTGAATGAAGAACTTAATTCACGCACAGAAACAGCTATCTACGAAGATGTTCATTTTCTACATGAAACCATCAACGGAATCTACGCTCTGAAAATCACATTCAAATCAATTCAGAAAGAGGCCAAAACTGATGATCAACTTTCTGGCATCCTCCGAAACTCTAGAACCGACCTGAGCAGAAACGCAAAAGAAAAAGTAAGGTTTGCGCTGAATCTTGATAATCAAAAACATCAAGTTGACTTCGGAGATTTTGTACACATTCCATTAAACCAGAGTGATGGAGAACTGCACGTAGATGAACCACAAGTCCCAGTTGACATAGACACACTAGAAATAATTGAAGAAGAAGAACTAGGGTTCGAACGAGGCCACCGCCCGGACCAGACTACGTCGATCTACAAGACCCCGGTAAGCATGGGAGAACTGTCATTACAAAAACATGTGGACACGCATTGGCATCATCTCTTCATATTCATTGGTGCACAGTGGTTCCATCTCTCGGAGCTGAGCCTTGACTATTATAACGGTGATACTAGTTTGTTTACATACCGGACACACCTTGTACAGTTTAATTTTAGTTCCAATAAAACCATGAAACGCATAGGATGGTGCAGTGTTTTTCTATACCTTTAGAAATTCAATAACAATCAAGGATACAACAAATTCTTTCTTTGATCATAAAGAACAGCATAAAACTACATGGATGAACACAAGAGGACAAAAATCACCATTCATTGTATGCTTACTAATCGTGAAATTCACCCATCCCAGATACTAGTTATAAGGAGCCTATCAGGAGTGGATATTGACAGTGATCATAACCTAGTATTAATAAAACTACGAATGTTCATTATGAAGAAAAATATTGCAAAAGAAACGCCGGAACACATACAAAAGTTGATATTGTTTGATTTTTACTCGAATATGTAGATGGAATATATGGAGATACGCGTTATACAGGTCCAATCGGCAAAAGTAGCGGGAATCACGGAGACTATGCTCGTTCACACCAACCTTGTAATTGACACACAGTCGAACTCCTCCATCAGCTTTTGGAACGACAACAAGTGGAGATCCCCAGTAGCTGGTTTCAGTTTTTGTAATTATCCCTGCTTCTTCGAGTGAATCCAGCTCCTCGACTCGACTGAACAGTGAATACGGAATTTCTCTTTCACAATGAAATCTTGGTTTGGCTTTCTCTCGAAGTTTTAATGCAACATTGAAATTTGGTACGCGTCCAATCTTTTCTTCCAAAATGTCTGAAAATTGTGCCATAATTTCATTGGTTTCATCGATGTTACTTACAGCGTTTGTTTCGGTTGATACTTTGCTTTGTTGATCGAGTTCTTGTAAATTGATGTTTAATTTTCTGATCCAAACTCGGCCTAAAAGAGCGTCTATTCGACGTTGACATTAATTTTACCATTTGGAACGAAGACATCATGCGTGTACGATCGGAATCGCAGTGGTGTTGGATCAAGTGCGACACTGGATTTGAAATCGGCGAACTTGTTTCGAGGCAACATCGTGTAACCTGCACCTGAATCAACTTCGAATTTGATTACCTTTTCTTCAACTTTAACCTGGGCGTATTAGCTGAGATATAACCGGTTTTCTTGCACTCCGAACATTTGAGAGTTGATTTATTAGTGCGACAGTCGTTTACAAGGGGATTATTTCTTCCGCACCTCACACATAGTCCATCGATTGCACGATGGGCTGCGTTGATGTTGGTCATGTTCATGTTTTGTGTGGTTATTTTTCTTCGAAAGTTTGACTTTGTTGATATTAGCTGTTGATGTCGATGCAGAGATATTTTGAGCGAGTTCCTTTGAGTTGATTTTTGAAGATTGAAGGGTTATTGCTTTAGTCACAATATCTTCAAAACTTTTCGTTTCCAATTGTAGCAGTTGCTCCCTGATGGAGTTGTCCTTTATTCCTCGAATAAACTGTGCTCGAAGAAGAATGTCTGCAACGGAAGTTTCGCATGAACATTCTGAAATAAAATGACAACCTCCGATGTCCACTCTCAAGTTTGCGACGATTTGTGCAATAGATTGATTATCAGATTGATATTTTGATAAAAATTGATGCTGAGCCACAAGAACGTTCTTTTCTGGTGCTAAATGTTTTTGTAAAAGTTTAATTAATTTATCGTATGTTTGTTCTTTTGGTATTTTTGGTGCTGACAATGCTGATATCACGTTTAAAATATTTTGCAGCGATAGAATTTAAAAGTAACTTTGCACAGTAATCTTTGTTATTTATTACGGTCTTCATTTCTAAACAATTTTCGAAACGAGATCTATAATTTCGAAACGATCCTCTTGTTGAATCGAAATATTCAAAATTTGGCAAAAGCGCCGTATTTACCGATATTTCTTGATTGGTTCTTACTGTTTGATCAGTGTTTAGGTGTAATATTTTCTCGAGCATTTGCTGTTGAAATTTCATAAATTCAGAAAATTGTGTCGTATCCATTATTCTGTCTGTTGAATTAAGTTGACTTTATTACCTTCAAGCAGTGATGCGACCTACTCGATCCACCCACGATCACCACTTGTTTGCAATGTAAAATATACTTTTTCTATTAAAAATTTCTCGAAATAAAAAAAAAATAATGAAATTTGTCAGCCCTCGAAATATTGTATGTGATTTGTTACCTGAGATCCTGTGCACGCTTATGGAATTGAGGTTGTTATTGTCGCCTTCTTTAGTGTAGATATTTTCTTCGATTATCCTGGTCGAATTGAATTTATGTTTCAATATTCACTTTTTTTCTTCACCTCGTCGCCAATTTGTTGTATCCTTGATTGTTATTGAATTTCTAAAGGTATAGAAAAACACTGCACCATCCGATTCGTTTCATGGATTTACTTGTTTATTTACTTAAACTTTAACTTACTTAAAATTAAACTGTACATGTTGCGTCAGGTAGGTAAACAAATCACCGTTATAATAGTTAAGGCTCTGTTTCGAGATATGGAGCCACTGGGCACCAATGAATATGAAGAGATGATGCCAATGTGTGTTCACATGTTTTTGTTATGACCGTATTGTTTATTCTTATTTCGTTTTCAACGCAGAAATCTATGAGAGTTTCTCCATTTTCATTGAGATCTGTTCATTGAACCTGTTCTTAATTCCCGGGATGTTGTGATTTCCTACTCTATCATTCAGATCACCCGCTATTACTACCGGTTCCTTAGGATCATGTTTCTTGAAGGTCATCATGTAATTTTTGTTTTTCGGGGGATGGTTTATTATTTTCCGGCGCGTATACGGATATAATGTTGATTTGTTTAGATTTATTTGCCCATTTTACTGATATAATTCTTTCGGTGATGTAGTTATGTTTAATTATATTATTTACATATTTGTTATGCATTATGATTGCTACACCCTCCTTTGCTGTATGATGTTTTGGAGGTACAATATGGAGGTACAAGCGTGTATTGACCATTTTGTGTAATTCCTTGTCCCTTTTTCTTAGTTTCTGTGAGCCAACATATGTCAATTTTGTGCCTGTCAAGTTCCATTAGTATTTCATATTCGCTTGTATTCCACGATCTCATATTCCATGTTCCGATTATTGTAATGTTCTTCCTTTTCCAGTTCGTAGTCCGTTTTCTTGCCAGAGTTGTCGTACATATAGGATTGATCCGAGGCAAATTCTTGGAGCTCTGAGCGGTGACATTTTTTACCCTAAGCAGGCTGCTAACCTCACTCAGGAACCCTCCTCTATCCGGGCTTGGGACCGGCCGTGGGCTGCTAAGCTACTCAATCCACCTAGCAGACACCACAGGCGGAGTTCTATTTCAATAAAATATCCAGACTTCAAGCCAACTACATGCAATTGCAAAGAGGCTAAGGCTCTTGTTCTTTTTTAACAGTGGAGAAATAATAAGCTTTGATTACCAAACAAAATGTTTACAATTCCTTTAACGACAAAATCGTCGTCGGGCCCACGGAAATAAACTGTTTAGATTCACGGAAAACTGTGCCTCACTCCGGGAGAGCGAACAGTCATCTCTCGGAAGGCATTAAGAACGAATCCCTTTCGAAAATATCATCATACTTAAATATTTATAAACATTAGTAACCATTTCATATCCCTTTCTATAAAAATTCATAAATTCTAAAGATATTCATCACAATTTGTGGTAAATATATAATGTATTCGAAGTATTATTTTAGTATTATAATTGTTCTTAAAACAAATTATGTTAATAAGGATTTAAAACTTTTGAAATCTTAAAAACGGGGGAATGTTGATTTACCGCAAAGCCCATAATACAGATATTTTATGCGCACGTGTTATTGAGTCATGGCATTCTTACCCCCACCAACTAATGTAGTTGAATTCAGAATAAATAATAGGAACAACTTTGTTGACAAACTCTGATAACCAGAATGTTTGCTTCTGCCTAATAGAAAATAGTTTGCATCGAAAAACGAGCTACAGATTTCATATAATAGTCCTATCAATAAAATAATCACCCCCCCCCCACTCCCCTCGCATCTAGCGAAATGGAGGCTCCAGAAAACCTGCGTGGATAATACTTCATTCTTAACAACGGATGCGCTATAGCAACGGCCAAGCGGTAGCTGTCAAAGCGGTCCCTTTGAGCTCTCTCTTCGAGCTCTTACGGGGCTCGTGCTACCCATTGTTCAGTCCATGATGTAAGAGACTCTTTCTTTGTGGTTCAGTCGTTCGTTAGCTCGATCATCGATTCACCGTTCATAAGATTTCAGCGTTTGTATGATTCATCCTATAAGCGAAAGAGCACCAATGAAATTGTAGATCGACTCTTCCACCTCATCGTACTAAATTGCTAGGATTGCTGAAAGAGCTCAATTTGGGTATAGAACCTTTGAGGGAACCTTGGGAAAATAAGTGAAGCCTCTCTTTCCTGTGCTGCTTCTCTGTAAAGTTGCCAAAATGGAGCCCACACCAAAGCATCAATGTGTTTGTTCTACTAAGTTTTAATTGCAAAATGCGAAAAGTCACTAAATTATGGTGTGAATGTTTTTACACTATCCACACGTATCAAAGCTCCGGATATGAGCGACCAGGTAGTATCTGCAGAAAACGCAGAAGAAAAGATACTTCTGGAGAATCTCCCGACTGATGTACTTTTGATGATCTTCTTGTATTGCGATGAAGTGTCGCTTGGGCGCCTTAGCCAACAATGTCGGCGATTTAATGAAATAATTAACGAAGATTGTATTTGGGCTGAGAGAAGCAGGAAAGCCATTGTCACTAACCAATTAAGCAAGGAAATGCAAGAAAGGTAATATAATGTTTTATTTATTACTATTACGTTTATGAATTTATGCTTGTATGTTATTTGCCTGAAATATGATTTCGGATTAAAGTAATTGGGAATCGAGTACATTGCTTAGCAACAAAAAATATTGTGCTTTGTATGGCTACTTCGGTTTTTAAGACATTGTAATATCAATATGTAAAACCAGTTTTTTTAGTTGAAAATGTAAATAAGATTGGCCACCTTAAAAAGTCAAGTAAAAAATCATTGATATGAAAGTGTCTAGGCAAATGTGGAAAATTTGTGTCAAACATATATATATATATATAGTTTGACACAAATGACATATATAACCTAATATGCCAATTTTAAAAATTATATTGAAAATCATAGTAGATTGAGCAATATTAATGTCTATCAAGACTTCCGAAGTACTTTGCATACCCTCTCTCCCCACTTTATTTAATATTCAAGTTTCAGGGGCGTTTATTTCAAATTTTACCACAATTGCTTTAAGTAGAAATATTGTTTTGACATTTGAATGAATTTTGAATTCACAAAGACTAGACAATTTTATAATTTTGTGCATATCTGTGGGTGAAGGATTTTGTGGGGAAAAAATGTTACTGTATTTTCTTTTATAATTAAATAGACTATTTTAAGATTTAGTAATTTGATGAAAGATAGTTCTTAATCTACAATATATAAAAAGAAATTAATATGGAAATTTTTTTTTATGAAAGTTTATTTTTTTCCGTACATTTCATGCTTGTTTCTTGTGCCATTTCATTTTAACTACATTTGTTTTTGACTTGTGCTACATTGTTTTGAATATTTTAAACATGTATCTCTATTTTTTTTATTTGTTACATTTCTAAAAGTTTTGCCAATTTTTTTTTATTTCTGTGCTTTACAACTTTTGCTTTAATTTGTTCTGTTAACTTCTTTCTCTCTTTCAATTATAACTCTTATAACCCTTTTTCTGCATTATGATGTCAACATTTGGTATCAGAAATTGCTCTAAGATTTTTTAAAATTGTAATGGCATTTACTGAAAAAAAACATTGGGTCTCGTGATTTTTTGTTTTGTTTGGAATAACATTTCTAAATTTTGTTATTGAACATGGAGATTTGATTTTAAAATGGTTACATTTAATTTTCTACCAAACCTTCGTATCTTATTTGAAAACATGAAATGCAAATTTTTCAATTTATGGTGTTTTAGACTTGTCCGGCTTTTATTCATCAGAAAATATATATTAGTGTGTGTTTACTCTTCTCCATTTTGTTGTACAAAAGTTTGAGCAAAGAAACGAGTGAAGTTACATAAATATTAGAATGTTATGTTGTAAGCAATAATGAGTAAGAAACATATTAGAAGAAAATGTGTATTGTGAATGTGATATGCAGATACCTATTCTTCTGACCCAATATCTTGTTCAATTTTGTATTTTATGTAATAATGTCATTGCTTTGTTGTTGCCTCACAATTTTCCTATTTTTATTTTCTAAGCCATCTGGTTTATTAAACATGCAGTAGCAAGGACAGTGGGGAAGAATGGTTGATGAATCAGAGTACCCTCTCATTTCCTCCCTCCCCATTTTATAAAAATGATTTTCTTACTTGTGGTTTTTTCTACATTCCAATGACAAATGAATTGACATTTGAAATCGATGAGAATGCCTGAATAAATGCACAATTATAAAAACAAAAATGATACACAATTTTTTTCACCTGGTCATGGTTGTTAGCTTAAAAAGTTTATAGGAATAAGCTTCCTTTCTCAGAGTAAATATTAGCCATTACATAATTTGTATTACGTGGACTCCAAAATGTACTTTTGCACAAGGCAATTCTTGAATGAATCTTTGCATTGCAAAAGTTATTTTTTTACAGTAAGTTGCTTCAATCAAAAACTCCATATACAAATAAATCTATTAAGTATTTTTTAGGAAAAAAGTTTTTAAAAAATCCCCAAGTTCACTGAATTAAATATTTTGTGATTCCTCCCCCCATTCAGTGAGCTTAAAATTCAAAATTCTTGCTAAAACGTCATTAACTTTGTGTTTTTTTAGCTCGCTTACTTGTGTATCTGGTAGCATGTATGCGTGTGCAAATCCGAACGAAGCCGTGGATTTTTAAGGGCGAAATAATCCTAAGGAGGGCAAGTGAGCTGTCCCATGCAGATTGACTTCTTGTAAAAGGTCCTCAAGTGTAAAAGAACCCTCCGAGATAAATTCTAATCGACTGTTTCGTCACCTAAATTTAATGTGATTTCGCTGCAGAACACGAAATTTGCGTGCTCAGGCAGAATGGCCTGCATCTCTCCTTGTAAAATAAGGCTGAATTGACTATTTATAGTTATCGAATCTGTTTACGGCGAGTAGATAATATGTAGAAACTGTTTATAGTATGGGGAGAGAGGAGATAGGGTAGAAGAATCAAAGTTCGTATACCTGCTTTTCACGGGCCCAAATATGTACATCCCACTAGGAGTTCAGTATGTTTAGAGGATTTCTTTCATTCTTATTCCGCTATAGTCTTTCAGGAAATCCAGAATGCGAGAACATTCCTTAAGTTATTAAATTTGTTTTCCATAAAACTTGACCATAAAAGATAATATTATAGTTACATATAAAAATTGATATGGATGTTCAGGAGATAAAAAATGGTCCAGTTGAATTGCATCCATGTAGCTTTATATAGGTTGCAACATTTTGTTCTGGTGGAAAATACTCTTTAACACGCCCTCTACCAGATGAATGCTGTATAATCACAAGACAACCTACAGATATTAATAAGCGTTATGTAATTGAGGCTGTAAAATCACGTATGTAGGATGAGGAAAAGACGCATTCAGCACATGTGAATTTAGTGTGCCATAGGAGTGGTAAACAAGCATCCTGACACCAGTTTCCAAGATGAGTGCCTGAAAATGGCACAGGAATAAATCTGCGCAGTAGGGCTTTCAAAGTGATTAATGAGATGATTCACAGGGAATTAATGGAATTCATTTTCTTGTGTGACGAACAGGGTTTGCGTTGAACTGAAACACCCGACGTTGCCCGAGCAGGCAGTACAAGAAAAGGATCTGAAATAGAGCATGCGCGATCGTATTTTTTGTGAATTAATGTATTAAATGTGTGTGAAGATTCATGAATTTGTGTACTAAATAGCAGTAAAAATATTTTGCGGATTTATGTTGCCTACTTGTAAACGTACAGGTGAGGTTGTATTGACGTAGTTTGTTGTTGACGGCTGTGGGTAGTGTGGAGGTATTTATTGTCTGCAGATAATTACTGACGCATTCCGTAGAATGTTCTTGTTAATAATTTTTGGCATAAATAACCTTCCAACTAACAACGAACTTCAAAACACCACTTTACATTTTGTATGACAATATCACGCAAGGACATAGTTGTACGACGCACGTGTTGCTTGAGATACAACATACTATGAAATACACGCCAGAATAGTCTAGTTGAAAGGCAGTGTACCTATTTTATGTTGTACAATTCTTCGTTCCGTGCGGCCATTTTATAAACGTGCCTGTCGCGAGGGGATGTAGCCTCGGTGAACGAGGCTACGGATGCCGGGGAAGTCGAGACAGGGCGATCAATAGTATCGCTGGAGGGGGAGGTGGCTCTTCGCTGCCGGGCAGTTGTAATTGGACCCACGTTATGGAAGATGCTGGATCCTGTGGTATTGCCGCGATTTCATCCTGTATATTTGTGCCTTAATTGTTCTACGTACGTGTCATACACAAACTTTCTGCTTGAGTGAACTTCGAACAAGCCATCAGAAACCGACTTTTCAACGAGGCATCACAAACCGACTTTTCAACAAGGCTGGAAAGCACGCTTTTTGCAGGGCGAGACCTTGAAACGCTCCTGGGCACAGGGGTTGTACTGATTGTAGAATGCGAAGACAAGACAACCTCTCAAGATTATTTCACGGAGTTCACTGCTCTGGGAAAACTGTAATTTAAAAATATCTACCACTAAAGGAGTCATTAGAGGTAAGGAAAAGTAAAGCGGCGCAAGGTGGAACGAGAAAAGAAAATTAAGTAATGATTTCCGGTATCTGGGTTTAATACAGAGTTCAGGGATTTTACCCAAACTAAAACGAAGCAATCAGTGCCAGGTTGAATGAGACAATATGAAATAATACGTTATTTTACACCTCGAACCTGAAGTCTTCCCCTTCTGCGAGATGAATTACAACATCGCTTCGCGAGAGGAGGATATGACGCGCGTGGTCGGACAGCAGGAACCGCAGACTAGCGTCCCCGAGTGTCGCGGTTAAGACTTAGTCTACTCCATAATGTATACATTTCTACACGTTATCGGATGCAGTAATGTGCCGGATGCACAAGCCGCACGGCTGTCGACCAATCCCATTCGTCTTGGTTCATTATACACGGCAGAAGGTTCTCGCAGCCGACTACAGACGCTCTGCGTGCTCGGCCGCGGCAGGTCGTAACTGACAGGTGAATCCCGAAACAGTATGAGAGCTGGTTTTTGTTAGGATCAGAGAACATGGTGTGTTCTGTAATGTTAAGGCGTCCATTTAGCATTTTTAAAACATAAATTTCAAAGTGGTAGAGAAAGTAGTCTTCCAATTACGTATAATGGCCATTATTCACTTGTAAAAAGTCGCGAAGAGGCCCTTTAATTTTGCATAGTGATTTTGGTTTCTTCTAAAAGGGTCCTGATAACTTAAGAGAGGTACTGACGTTAGCGTTTCGACTCACCAACTCGTCGACGAAATGCAATTTTCTTTCGTTTACCATCCCCGTTGTGAACTTTATCTTGGGATGGGTGTTATTGAGATGTTGGAGGCAGCCGGCTAAGGCGTGAGGGCTGTGAGGCTATACTTCCAGTGTATTGTCCACATATCGATGCTGGAGTGTCGGTTTTACTCGCAAAACTCATCTTCAACGTAAGACATCTACTTGTATAAGTAAATTGTGTGTATATGTACTAGTATTATAAATTTCCTCGGTTGAATATTGAAATAAACA